AAAGAATATGCACGAGCCTGTTGTCCCAGCTACCAGCTACTCTGGAGGTTGAGGCTGGAGGATTGCCTGAGTCCAGGAGTTTAAGACCATCCTGGGCAATTAGCAAGGCCCTGTCTCAAAAAAAAAAAAAAGTATAACTCGAGGCTAGATAACTTGAGACAAGTCATAAAAATGATGCTTTATTTAAAGACCATCTTAAGTTTGTAATAGCAACCAAATATATTCCAAATATATATTATGGAAGAATAAGTGTGTTAAGTAAACCTCGTTTATAAAATGACTAAAATACATGATTGATTTGGTATTTAATAATCAGTGTTTCAGCACTTCAAGGGTTGATTCTAAACACATTCACGTATCACTGCAGATATCCTTTATCTGGATTCAAAGACAGAACCCACTAAAGAATGCCAAGGACACTCGCAGAACATCCCACAGCCTGCAAATGAAGGGACAGTTTATCTTCAGTTAGCCAGTTAGTGCTTTAATTGAAGGCACTTGTCTGAGTTGGGTCATTTGTTACAAAATATGGCAAATAATATTGTAAATAATAGAAGAAATTAGCAAAGATACTTGAAGTTTTAAAATTGTTTGAAAATGGACAAAAATGTTAAAACTCATTTTGTATAATCAGCTAGAAATGAGAATTCTAAGTAAATACTTTTAAAAATTATAAGTATCATGTTTTGAGATCTTCATTGTATATACTGTGTTTTTCATGTTATGAAACTAAAGCAAAGAGAAGATTTTACAATTTCTAACTAGCTCAAGAGGTATCAGCTCTGTTTTTACAAAACAATTTAAAATTAAGAATGTGGATTAATGAAGTCACCAAAAAGGTTACCGGGGGCAATTCTTTTAATCAACAGAAACACAATTGTACAAAGAAAGGACAGGGGATGTTAAGTTTCCAGTCCCTTACTGTCCCCTTAAAAGCATACAATGCTCACAGGAAAGCATTCCTCCGGCTACCACAGATCCTCTTTCACAAAGGCTTTCATGCTAAAGCAAATAACAAAATGGAGTGTGTCTTTCTTCTGCAAGAGTCCCCCATCCGGTGGGAACGTGGCTGACTTTGCTTTCTGCCAGCATGCAGGATGTCATTTGATCTGCAGTTGCGCATCTCTAGCACTTGTCTCTGAGGCTGCTCCTTTGCTGCTGTCCAAAGCCTTTCTCGAGATAGGAACAAACATATCCCAGCTTGCTTGCCACCTGCCCTGCCACCCGTGTCTCTGCAGTGTGACGAAGCTCCCATTTGTCTTCCCCAGGAGTGGCTCCATCAGTATTCTTGCCATGACTGAACCCACAGGAACAAGCAAAAGACAATCACCAATAGCAAAGCGCGGAATACACAAACCTCTAGGTAACAGCCGTCATAATTCAGTCTCTAAGCTGGACACGACTGGAGAATAAATGACTAACACAGATGCCGCTACTGCTTAAGAGTCAGACAGGCAGGAGCAGGACAGAAGTTCCAGGCAAACACTTCAGGGATGATTTATCTGCTATCCGATTGTTCTCATGCAACACAAAAAGCATCTCTTTGGTGTGAAAAGAGATGCCTAAACTCAGAGCCAGTATGAGTCTTGGATCTTCCATTGACCAACTGTGTGATTTCTGGTAGGGCTTAATTTCTTCATGTATACCCAGGTCCACGCTTACTGGGAGAGAGGGAGTCACTCTCAAGCTCCACCTCTCGATGGTTCCATGTTAAGTCACTTGAAATTCATTCTCCCTGATTCTAATAGCTGGCCTTTTGACTGGTTCACAAGCCAAAGGGCCCTCCAATCCCCAGTCTTTCCCCAGCTCCAATTCTTATCACTGGATTTAGGTAATTCTTAAGTTAATTCAACCCATATTTGGGTTTCCAACAAATGGGTACATTCTCTGCACTCATAAAATTGACAAATGGATTTAAAGGAGTGTACAATCAAATAACGATACTCCACGAGGGGAAATGCTATGGAAAAGAAGCACAAGGGGCTACAGGAGTAAATGAATGCCAGGGAGACCAAGATTTCAAGGAAGGCTTTCCCAAAGGAACTGACGCTCAAGCAGAAATCTGAAAGATGAGAAGGAGTTAAGTGGATAAAGAGAGGTTGAGGAGTATAGAGGAAAGAGTATGGCATGAGAAACTGAAAGAAAGTGGGATGACTTTTTGGTATGGAGACCCCGTAGTTTACTTTCGGTGTGGAAATAATATTTGAGATTTGGGCTCCAAGAGGAATGGGAAATCACAGAAGGGTCATAAGCATGTTGATCGCAAAAAATAGATTTCCATTTCTTAAAACCCAATGGAGAATGTGGGAATGACATATTGGACTGGTGAAAGAACAGAAGTGGAGAGACTAGCCAAGAGGCCATTGCAATGATCTCGAGGCAGATACCTGGACTGGAGTCAGGACCATGTACAACACAATGCTGAGTTCCGGGGTGACAGGGCTGAACAGGATGGATTCAGCCTCTACCTCAGTGGAACTTATGAGGAAGACAGTAAACTAGTCTTCCCAACTAGGCTAAGAATGATGAGAGTGACAGAGTTCTATGAGTACACTAAACAGAATTTCTAGAATACGTTGGCCTGGAGCCTGGCCTTGAGACAGCCCTTCCAGAATAAGCTCTGTTCCTTAAATCTCAAGTCAGTGGCTCACTGATGAATCAGATAGATGCTAAGTTTTTGTCTGGATTTCTGGATGTCACTGTTTTTGGATTTCATCTCTTTGAAAGAGTAGGCTCGGTATCCAAATTTCAATCTTTATGTTTTGGTTCTTTCCTTTCCAACCCCAGACCAGGCCAGAACCACTGTATGCCAAAGCATGACATTTGGAAAAACCTTTGCTCAACCAGGTCAACATCTCCAGCTCCTAGTCCACCCCAGA